GTGTCTGGAGTGGAATGTGCATTCTCTCCCTGGAGGAATTCTGTCTGTCCAGCATCTTGGGACATCCTCCCGACTGAAAGGTGCTTGACAAGTATTGTTGTTGTTGTTGTTGTGTTGTTGTTGTTGAATACACGTTGGCAAACCAAAGTTTTGAGATCCCAGAATGTGCATTTTGTAACTGCTGGAGGTTAACTAAATCCTACACTAAATCCGCATAGCAGGAATTGAAAGCACTGCCTTGCAAGCTGTTTGTCCAGTTAGGATCATCCTACCTATCATGTCTTTGACTGACAGGATTAACAGGACCCAAGTGGGAAGAATCCTTGCCCACAGAGCCCACCATCAAAGTCCTACTGATGAGTCAGTCAGGCCAATACGTCATCAACAATACCCTGGAGTCCTGCAGACCTTCCTGGCTCAGGAATTAGTGTATCAAAATCAACACAGTGTATCAAAATCAATTTTGACATTACAATAGAATATAAAATTACATTTATATAGCGTCTTTCACGTGGGAGGATATCCTAAGGCACTGGACAGTCAGCAATTTGGACCCGAGCTGAGGGTCGGGATCGAGGAGGGTGGAGGGCAGGACGGGTAGGAGGGTGGCCGATAACATGGTCAAAGAGGAGGTTTTGAGATGTACCTTCAAGGAGGCAAAGGAGGGTGTGAGACAAAGGGAATGTGAGATGGAGTTCCAAAGGGTGGGGGCAGAGTGGCTGAAGGCCCTATCACCAATGGTGGAGCGTGCTGGGAGGGGTTGTATAGCTGGCCAGAGCCTGCTGAGCAGACGGAGTGGACAGGTTGATTTGGGGTTAGCAGTTCACAGAGGTTGGAAGGAACAAGGCTGTGGAGGGCCTTGAAGATGAGGATGAGGATTTGGAACTCTATCCTTTGGGGCATAGGGAGCCAGTGGAGCTGGGCGAGGATGGGATTGATAGGGAGAGGACACTAGCTGCAGAGGTCTGGATAATTTGCAGCTTGTTAGCGTAGTCAAGCCTAGATGTGATCTTACATTGCGAAGCACCTCAGCTTGGAGCTAGCTCAATCCACAAAGACCCCAATGATCACCAATTTGATTAATTGGCATCTGAGAAAGACAGGTTTGAGCCCTCATTAAGTTTATAGTACTTAGTGCACTGGATATATGAGCCTGTATTCATTAACCAATTGGAGTTCTACAGATCAGTGGTTAGAGCACTCATCTCACAAGCGAGAGATCTGGGTTCAATTCCCAACAGGAAGAAAAATTCGGCAAGTTTCCTTACTCCACATGCATCTGTTTACTGAACAGTAAGTAGGAACCGGGGGTGTTAGTCGATTGGCGGATCGCTTTTCTGGGGGTAATAATTCCTTTTAAAAAATAACAAAATAATAAATTGTTCACTTCAATCCATGACTGTTTGTGAGACTCTGTTGTGCAAAATTGGCTGCTCAGTTTCACTCACAAAATTTACAGTTAATTCATTTTACAGCTGTGAAGCACTTTGAGACGTTTTGAAGATGTGATAAGGTGCCATATCAAATGCAAGGATTATTATTATATAGCCAGTAATGCCTTCCAGTAGCTATTGTTACAAGCTTCTGGGTTTCCTCATGAGCTTTTCTACTTTCAACATGGTGGGAGGACCTATTCAGGACAGCTTGTGACATGGCAACCACCTTTACGTTCAAGTGGTCCAAATCCAATCCATTGCTTACTTACACCAATTGCTTGATAATCATCCTTATCTGAGGGACTTTGACAAATAAATGTGTCTACCATGAAGTTGATTCCTCATGGTGGGTATATCTATACATTTGTATAGCGCTTCCCGTCGTGAAAAGTGCTATGCAAATGTAATTTGTTGTTGTTGATTTGAACAACAGATCAGTGCCAACCAAAGTCCACTCTCCCTGCAGCTGTTCCCCTTTTAATCACAAATCCACCCCACTTGTTCTGGACTGCAAATGATCCAACGAAAACCCTTTCACTGCATGCTCAACAGCTCACAATGGTGAGTGGGAATTCTTTGGAACACATCTTAACCTGATATATCCCACAAGCTTAAACTGCATTGGTATTTTGCTGTCAGTGAAGAGGCAGGAATATCCAGAGTGCCATGTACCCCTCCTCAGCATGTCCCTGCAAAACAGTGTCTAAGCAAATGTTATTATCCCCCGTAACTAATACAAATCAACAATGGGATGGATGTCACTTGCACTTTTCAGTCAATGCCTTTAAGTTCCCCTTTCAAGCCATACACACCCGGCATCCAGGGAGCTCGGTGTTAAGATGACAGGTACAACACATGATATCCCCAGGCAGGTTTGCCAGCAGCACAGTATGATCTACAAACAGAACCACAACAATTCTATCAGAAATGGCTGAAGCAGATATACTAAATCCATTCCTCTCAATACCGTCCAATTCATCATTGATGAATATATGAAATAAGGTGTTGATCTTTATTTATTCCCTTTCAAGAGAGAACTCCTCTCAGATTCCTACCATCCAGACTATAGATGACTTCTTTATTTTTCCAGCTGAAGTGAATTACTTCACATTTTCCTACATTAAACATTATTTTTCATCTATCTGCCCATTCTGCTAGTCTCCTTATGACTTCCTGCATTCTTCTGCAATCCCTTTCACTGTTTTTACCATTCGGCTTGGTGTCCTCTGGAATTTTGACACCACATCTGCTATACCTGAATCCGATATCATTTATGTATATGATGAACAGTAGCGGTCCTAACACAAATAACTGTGGAACACCACTCCCTACTTCTTTCCAGCCTGAGAAGATACCCTCAACTCCTACCCTTTGCTTTCGGTTTCCAAGCATTCTTTAATCCATTCAATTAGCTTTTGCACAATTCCACATGCCCTATTTTAGTCATAAGCCTCTCGTTTGGCGCTTTATCAAAAACTTTCTGGAAATCCAGAAACACTACATCTACTGCATTTCCATGTCTACTTTATTGGTTACAACTATAAAGAATTAGTTCTGGATTGCAAATTATATCCCAGGCAAAGGAAACTACCCGAAGCACCACCTAAAGAGTGACTGTTGTTTGATGAAAGTACTGTATTAACTATCAAATAACAACAACTTGCATTTAGAATTATAGAATCATAGAATTATACAGCACAGAAGGAGGCAATTTGGCCGATTGTGTCTGTGCCAGGTTTTTGAATGAGCTATCCAAATCAATCCCACTCCCTTGCTCTCTCCCTATAGCCCTGCAAACTTGTCTTCCCCAAGCACCCCTCACCCAGGGTAGCATCCCAGAGCACTTGAAATAAAAAAAAATCACAGGCATTAAATGTGGAGATTTTTATTCATTTTAAAATCATTCCATTCAGGACACAAGATAGAAGTTTCCAATGGTAAGGTTTTTTGCCTTTGTCTAATTTTGAGTTTACCAATAGATTATTTCAGCAAAATTTTAAATCAAAGCACTGACAGATCTTTAATTGGAACATCTGACAAAAACACCGCCAACATTACAACTGACCATTTCCCTACGTGATATTTTCCACATGGCATTTTGAGTGTTAGAAATAGTCGTATGAATCAATTTGCATTCATCACAACTCAACACATTGGTGACAGCCGTTTCAAAATGTACAAACTCACTTGCACAGACTGAAAATTATAATATTTTATCCTTACTTTCGAAACAGACAAGAAGTAATGACCCAGATATTAGGAGATCCAACCTTTTGGCTGCTGAGGGCTAAATGCCCTATTCGAGAAATGTCCATGGGCCACGTAAGCAATATTTTTGTGTTTCCCTTCCAGAAACATAACATTTATGGGTTATACAGGGAGCGGGTGGACCAGATGAAATGGAGGGGACAGGGGAAGCTCGGATGGAATCGGCCCATCAATAGGGCCACTAATGTGACATATAATGTTGTGAATATTTCAAATCGAGACAGGTAGATACTTGTAAAGCAAAGGGTAACAAAAGAGAGAAATTGAGATTAAAAGATTGAACAAGATTATAAAATGGGTGAACAGGCAAGAAGGTTGAATGCTGTCCTTCTCTGTTACTACATATTAGTAATAAATCAGTTTCAGGTAGGACCACTCCATCGATCCAAGAAGTGTACCAATCAAATTTTTCAAAAGACTTCTTTGCCACATTTATCTCAATATCTCATAACTGATTTCTTTTTCTTTCCTGGAATTTGATTAGCTTCATTTTGAAACACTTTGAAGTTTCTTTTTCACCAACTATGCTGGTAGTATGTTCCACAGTCCCATCACTTTTTTAATGCAAATATTTTATAGCCTTCACTGTACTTCTTTAAAAAAAGGAATATCTATTTTTGAAATACAAAACTTCAAACAGTAGTTAATCATCCACACATTTAGTTTGCTTTCTCAACTAACCCTGTCTCAAAATGTAAGACGAAGCAGAAATTTAAAAAATTCTTAAAATCATTCTTAATTTGGAAAAACATTTTCACAATTCTTTGAAGTAATCGGACATTGTATAGGTCGGCTTCTAATGACATTTGGTATCTCTCGCGATCACCACTGGCATTATTTGGTGGCAGAGATCATAAAAAATAAAATAAAAGTTTTTTTTGCATGTACAGAGGTATTAGAGTTCATTGTGCTAATTTTGCAATAGCATCAGGCAGCTATGCAGTACCAAAATGTGATTTTGTCATGAGGCTGCTGAAATAAGGTAGGAGCTGTAAAAATTGAGAATTTTACACAACAACTTGCATTTATATAGTGTCCTTCACACAAGATAGCGTCCCGGAGTACTAAGATCAGTGCCACTCATTGGAATTTAAAGCAGAACGTAATTCTCTGCTCAATAAGAGGCTGTAATTGTTTGATGAAGTTTTGGGGATAAAACAAGTTACTATATGACTACTGTAGAGAAATAAACTGGCTTTTTTGTTCATGCAATACTTGGAAGTTTTTTCCTTTTTGGTGACAAAGCAGATTAATAAAATTGATCAACCTCTTAAAAAAATCAAATAAACATGATATTTATTGTGGCACCATTTCTTCCCAAGATTTGCCAGAGCTGATTGCGATTGTACAGCATGCCAATGCTTTCCCAGAATTTCCATGAATAAGACTTTCTGGATTTCCACCTTTTCCTAAATCATCCTTGCCCTCATGCAAGACTATCCCGAGGCCCAAAATTGAATCAGGTCCATACATGGTCACCCGAAGATTATGGAGCAATTCTCTAATTTTTCCATGTTTGGTCTCCAAATTAGGGAAATCTCCAGGGTGATTTGGATGTTTAACATTGTATGGGTTGAAGTGTTTGCTAGTGGATTTGCATCCGTAGGTCAGATCTCCGAACTGATGTATGTGAATTGCATGAACAGATGTAACTTTTGGAAAACCATCCAGGGAAAAAAAGCCTTTGACTTTGTTCTTTGCTTCATCTTGCTTGAAGAGGATGTATCCTATTATATTCAGCTGTCCAGATGTCAAAGTTCTATTGGGTTCAAAGCTGCAAATTCCATACCTGGGACCACTTTTCATTGGAGTGAACGGATGGAAGAAATGATACACAGAATCTTTTATCTTCTTCCACTTGTCCTTAAAGCTTCGTGGATGAGCAGAACTCCCTGGCAGCACTGCAAGCAATGTCACAAAGGCTCCAAATAAAAGTAACATGCTCAACACTGAACTTTTCATCTTTTATTCTACTCAGCAGCAAATATTTTACCCAACAGTAGTTTACAAACAATATCTTCTGTTTGGGTTCAATGGCAAGCTTGATTCCTCACATGGAATCTCAGTTATCAACTGTCTGTTTAAGTGCAGGATCTGAATTATATAACTTAGAGGATTGCACACTGTACTTTTTTGTTTGCACTCAGCCCTTACTCAATTGACTTCTTAAACTTCAGTCTTATGTTGCTTTTCCAAAAATCATTCAACTGAGGAATGGAAGAGGGAAAACAGACGAAAGAGAAAGACGAGGAAGGGATGGGTGGCAGAGGAGAAAGGTGGAGGAGATAATCGAATAAAACATGTTATGTACGCTCAGATAAAAAGGAAGATAAAGAAAAAAAGGAAGATTTATAAAGCTTGTACGGGTGAAAGGAGACAGTGACCACTGGGCTGAATACAAGATTGTACAAAAAAAGGTTTAAAAAAATAAGGGTTGCCAAGAGAGAACTGGAAAGTTATATAGCAGCAAATGCAAACATGCCAAAATAATTATTTCAAGAGGGTATTCGTGGAAGATGTTAAAATCCTAAGGGATTCAAAGGTGGATAGAAAAGAGAATCAGCATGAAATAACAGCATATTATTCAATGACTATGTCCAAGAGGTTTTTACCAGGAAGCCCACTAAAATTATGGCAAAAGTAAGCAAACATTATTTAAGCTCCTGGAAACATAAGTGAGGCTGAGATTCTGGATAGGCTCAAGAGGCTTAATACCAACAAATCCCCAGAACAGATGAACTATACTCCAGGGTATTTAGGAAAACAAGGAGATTTGTGCAGCGCTGCTAGACATTATGTGGGAATCATTTACCATGAGTGAGTTCCAATAGATTGGAAGCAAGCAAATATGATTCCCAAATTCAGGAAAGATGACAGATGGTAACTATATTGCCATTAGGCTCACCTCAATAATTGAAAGAAATGTTAGTCATCGGAAAGAATATGGAAATTTAACCATGTATAAAAAAATTTCTAATAAATGACATTCAACATGGGTTCAGAAAGGATAGATCTTGTTTGACCAACCTCATACTGATCCTTGTGTTTGATAAAGCCCTTTCAAATTGATGTTAAGAGGAATGGACAATTTGAGAAGAACCAATGAAATAGAAGCGTGAAGTATAAACAGGATCAGGATGGTATTGTGGGTTATGATTGGAGTATTGGATTGTTGTGAGGTAGCTCTAGAGTTTACAAACCTTGTGTCTGCCGAATCACGAGAAGGAGGGCTTGGGTAGCTGTGAAACAGGCAGAAAAGAGCACAGTTTGAGGTATGGGAAAGGGTTAAATTACAAACTAGATTGTGTTTTTGATGATGTGATTTTTGGGAGGTGATTTTGATTGTATCTTGAGGGAAGAGGATGGGACAAGAGGAAGAATATATGTGTCAGGGAGGATGTTAAAGGAATTGGTGGAAGATGCAAGGTTAATTGATGTGGGAAAGAAGAAAAGAGGGAAGAATGTAGAATTTATGGGGATGAGTAAGGATGGCAGCAGGCGTTTGAGGGTATTTGTTTTGTGGAAAACAGTATATAGGTAAGTAAATTTGAAGTGAAGCCAGCATGCTTTTGGACCACCAGCCTTGCTAAGAGCATAAAGTGAACCCCGAAGGAAAGTAGGCATAGGAAAAAAATTATGAAAACTGAATAGAATTACTGGAAGATGAGAAGGTCAGAGGACTGTTTAGAAAATGTTGAGTGGGAGACTGAGAGTATTTTATGAAAGTTGAAGTGAGTGGAGAGTGCTGCTGATATTGTATGTTGGAAGGTTTCAGTCTGGATGAAAGGATAGGGAAAATCTTGGAGAGATGCTGTATGTGTGTGTGTGGAGGTGGGGGGAAGATGGAGAGAGTGAGGAGGGAAGTGATGGTGAAGATTGGGAAATGGAGTGAGGGAGAAATGGATTCTGGAAATCCTCTTTTTATTAAAGATGGCCTATTTGTGTGAGGTGATGAAGGTACGTTTCTGGTTTGCGAATATGTCGCAGCTTTTTCGGTACATGGAGAGACCACACAATCCCTTCCATATGGGAAAGGTCAAAAGAAGTTCAGAGGGTATTCAATTTCCTAAATAAAAATGATTTGAGGGTTGGAAGAGTAGAGGTCTGGGATATGAAAGGGGTGTTGGGGAGAGTGAAGGATAAGAACGAATTATATTTGTATAGTGCCTTTCATGTGGAGAGGATGTCCCAAGTTGGAGATTTGGACCTGAGCAAGGGGTTGGGATCAGGATGGGTGGAGGGTGGGGAGGGTAAGGGTAGGAGGTTGGCTGAAGGGGTGGTTGAAAAGGAGGCTCTTGAGACGTGAATTGAAGGAGACAAGGGAGGGAGCAAGGTGAAGGGACAGTGGGATGAAGTTCCAATTGAGGGTGGGACCAGAGAAACTGAAGGCCCAACTGCCAATGTTGATTTGGTGACAGTAGGTCACAGAGCAAGGTCACAGAGAAAGAGCAAGGCCATGGAGGGCCTTGAAGGTGAGATCGAGAATTTTTAACTATCCTCTGAGGGATGGGGAGCCAGTGCAGCTGGGTGAGTGCAGGGGTGATAGGGTCTTGATGCTTAGTGTGGGAGAGGACATGAGCTGTAGAGTTCTGATGATCTGTAGCTTGTGGAAGCAAGAGTTGGGAAGGCCAACACGTAGTGAGTTGGTATAATGGAGCCTAGATGTAACAAATGTGTAGATGAGGGTTTCGGTGGCCTGGGACAGGTAGTGGCACAGCCAGGTGATAATGAGAAGATGAAAGGAATAGGATGAGTTCCGCAATAGTTTTTTGAGAATGTGTGAGTTAATGCAAATTATGGAGATCTGATGGGCTCACAGAAAGATCTGGCATGGATGGTAATAAATGACTGCCTCCTGTGCAGGAGTTTGCTGTTCAAAAAGAATTTGGTGTTTGCAGCAATCTGTCCGAGAGTGGGTTGCAGGAAGGAAGAGATGGGGGCACATGTGTTGTGGGCATACACCTTTGCACAGAAGGTGTGGAGGACTGTGGTAGACTATCTGTAAGTGTTATATGCTCGGCAGATAAAGGGTTAAGAGAACAGTCCTGAAATTGCTTTTTGCAGATGTAGATATTGTAGGGATGCTTCTCTGTAAATATAGACATGGCTCAATGATCTGCCGAATAAGCAATTAAATAAGAAGGAGTTGATTTTAATAGAAGGAAATATGAAGGTTGAATTCAATAGCGGGAAGTACAAACAGTGATAAACAACTCCTTATTAGGAATGAATGTGCGATAAGATCTGTATATAAAAAATGAGGAAATGCAGAAGAAGGTGTAGAGAGTTGAGATGAATGTAGAGCTGATACAAGAACTGAAGTCAGCACCAGGTTACGACTCTAGCCAGAGGAACGGGTAATACTGTATATTTTTCTCTATTACTGTCGCTTAAACAATTATATGAGTTAAACTTGGTTGAACTCAATAAAGTCTGTTGTGCAACCAAATTGGTTTCTCCTTCTGAATCTTGTATAACTTGCCTCCCAAGTGCGAGGACCCAGGTTTGAGTCCTCGTAGGGAGGAACCTTGGACAAGTTTCCTTAATCCACACTGTCTCTGTTTACCTAGCAGGAAGCAGGAACCTGGTTGTTAATCAATTGGTGGATTGCTTTTTGGAGGTAATAATCCCTCCAAAAAGAAGAAAAGGAAGAGAAAAATTTGGTCACTCGATCCTGTTTGTGGGACAATTCACTTTACAGTATATCCTGTGAAGCGCTTTGAGATGTCTCAACAATATGATAAGGTACTATACCAAATACAAGGATTATTATCTGAAAAGATTTGTACGATCAAACTTGATGGTCAAAGAGGACATGATAGGGGGCCGAAGGAAGGACTGAGGACTGAAGCAGCATGGTAGGTGGTATATGTGACAAAGGAGGCCTTATGGAGGGTGAGGAACAGGCTGGTCCACCAGAAAGGTAAAATTACGGAGACAAATGTGGCACAGTTAGTGGCCAACACTGCGCAGGACTGTGTTTGGAGAGACATTCAAAAGAAACCAGTAAAAGGGACTGCAAATGTGGAAGATGACTGCAGTGGAACAGATCTTCCTGTGAACATGCCACTGTATGAGGAACGCGGTAGCAGTATGATTGGACTGAAGGGTGCTGTGCTGTGTCAGTGTTTTACCTCTTTGCAAAACCTAGATGTAATGGGCATGTTCTGTTAGTTTATATAGCTGGTGGCAAAGAGTAAATGACCTGAGATGATAACATGTATTCTGATTGCCTGGGCTGAAGTGGGATGGTTTAGAAGGGGAAGGGGGGTATTTAAATTGCTCTGGAAAATGAGTAAGATGTGTGTTGCATGTATAATTGGTATTTACCAGCAATGAAGTGTGGTGCGGAATATACCAGGGATTTGTGTTCCTTGTAGTTAGGATTGCATAGAAATGGCTTTGTTTTAACTTGATGAAGGTTAGAACAACAACAAATTACATTTGTTTAGCGCCTTTCATGTCAGGAGGATGTCCCAAGGAACTGGACAGTCAGGGATCTGCGTCCGATCTGGTGGTTGGGATCATGAGGGCTGGAGGGCAGGGAGGGTAGAGATAGGAAGGTGACTGAAGCACGGTCAAAGAGGAGGATCTTGCGACGGGGTTTGAAGGAAGCAAGGAAGGGGGCGAGGTGGAGGCACTGTGGGATGGAGTTCCAGAGGGTGGGGGCAGAGAGGCTGAAGGCCTGCCCGCCAATGGTGGGACAGGCAAGGCGGGGATGTGAAGCAGGGTGGAGCCCACTGAGAAGGGTGTTGTCTTGAACTGTTCTGATGAGACTTAATTTAGTGTATAGACATTGGGCTTGTTTTACGCATTTTTGAATAAATCAAATCGATAATAATAAAGAAGCTACAGCAATGTTGTGGATAAAGAATCATTATATGGTGTCAGAAGTAAAACTGGATACAAGATTAGAAACTGACTTTGAAGAAGCAAAATGAATTTGGGAATAGGAGGAGCCAATGCCGTATCA